AAATGAATGAACCGGAAAAGCACAGCTGTGTTTAGAAAGAGGCTTTATAATAGTCCAAGGCAGAATTTATTAGGTTATTCACTCCTAATGAGTTCCATATAATATCCTCTCAGTTAATAAGTTAACTATCATCTTCGTAGCTAAAAAGCTGGAAAATTCTGATTTCAACTCATGAAAAAACGCTGGAGTGTGTCAGCAGATATAATGCTGTTGACACCATTCGTGTCCTCAGGAGATTTCCCAAAGCAGTGTGGTGTGAGCCTGCAGTCTTCAAAGAGGGGCAGACAGATGCCTACTCCTGCAGACGCTGTTCCTTCCTGCCCGGTATACAGCTCCAAGGCTGAAAAGCAGCTCCTTTTGGAATACATAGCTGAATTTTTCCAAAGCTCAAATGACTTGCCTTTTCATCTTGTTTTCCAGTTCACAGAAATGTGTTTCTCTTGCTCTCATCAGTGTCATAGGGCAGAGGATCCTAATAGACCAATGAAATCCCTTTTCATTGCGATAATTGGCAAAGGACCTGTAGTTTCACTGTCGTTCTTGTTAAGCCCGGGAGACTGGTCTGCAGGATGCCGCACTGTCAGTGAAATTAATTGGATCTCAGTGGCCCCAAGCAGCAAATTGGGATTTCCTGAAAATTGTTTCAAGTTGTAGGATTACAATCAGATGTGGGTTGTGGTTAAAAAAAAGGGGAATGTTGGCTAAACGCATTACATCATCAGCTAAGGAAAATGGGCTTTCATGCTCGTTATTTCTTCAACTGTGTTAACTAGGAAATAAAATTTAAACAGCACTTTAAAGTGGGAATGGGGAGAAGAAAACAGCACTTTAAGTAGTTTTCTTGCAAAGTTTCTGCCTTTTGCAATTCATATTCTTGCTTTTAGTAAACGTTTATCTTCAAAATCCTATGATCTACTGTAGGCATATTAAAGTATTATTTCTTCTCTATTCTTCTTCAAGACATTTTTCTTTTAAAACAAATAACTTTACTTCTTATGCTTTTTAAATGATACACAGTATATTTTCACCTCTCTTGTACTGGTTTATACATTGGGTCTAGTTTGACCTCCTCACTCTGTTGAGTATGCATCACTGAAGCCTGATCCTTATGCTTCCCAGTTCTTGGTTCCTTAGCCCTTTACCATATGAAGCGTCCAGTAAACATTTACGGGTTTCCTTCGAGTGAGCCTGGTCAGTAACCCAGGCCTGTAAAGGGGACTTTTTCAGAGGCGCTGTTGGTTCTCACCCTTTTCGACCCTGCTTCCCTGCCTCTTGCTTGGTCCTGAGAGAAGACCCAGCTAGAGAGCTGAGATGTTCAGTGCTGCATCTTCCCTTAGAACCAGCCAGGGAGGGTGAAGCCACTGCAGTGTTTCAACTAGGAAAAGGAAAGGAGGTAGAGAAAGGACCCCGCCCCCACTTCCCTTCTAGCCTGTGGCTCCCTGCTACATCCTGTTCCTCTCTTTCCCACAAAATCCCCGAACACCCTTCAGTCCTCAAGAGATGGCACTAAGGCAAATGCCCTTTTCGATGTGCCAAGACTTGTGGGCTCTGAATAGACCTGGTTACTTGCTTCTTGGTTACTTCCGGTCCTCTGTTCAGTGTGAACTGTTCTCCCAGCATCAGGCAGCCAAGATACTTAACTGAATAACACACTAAGAGGGGTTAGGAATAATTATTTAACTATTTCTGTGAGATCTGAGAAATGCAAAGTCATTTGTTGTTTGAAGTAACGAAAATGTAGCTACAGCAGAATTCATGAGATTTCTCATTGTCTTTGCTAAAGATCTAACAAGATAACATATATGTATGTATGTATGTGTGTAAATATATGTAGAGAAGTTGTAAAATATATTGAAATATGATATGAAATATCAAGGTTCTACGTGTGTATACACTAAGTATAACCCGCCCTGAATACGACTTCCAAATTTCCCATCAATACTACTCACAGGAAAACCTGTGAAACAGTCTTGCTCCAGTGAAGTGGCTGGTTCTTTTAAATAAATTGATCTGAACTCCTTAAAAGGTTAAAACTGGCTTCGTTTTTTTAAAAAAAAATGGGAGTTCACAAATGTTACATTATTCGTATATTCATAAAAACATGCACTTAATTTAAAAACATAATTTGAATAAATCTGCTGTTCTAAAGTAAGGTAACAGATCATGATAATTTAGACCAGAGGCTATATAAAAGATCTCAGGCTGTTTCTCCTTTTAGGCCTGGTACTTTTAAATTTCATATCCAATTAGGCACATAACCTAAAATCTTCAGCAATATGGGTGATGACAAACCAAGTGGTTTTTAGAGCAGCTTCATTTGAGAACTGCACATGTAATGGAAAATCTTTCAACTGCACTAGAGATAAAATCATGTAACCAAAAAACACTTAGTGTGGGATGAAATGCATATTAGTTAAAAAAGGAGTGTATGAAGCACTTGACATCAAAGACGGATCCAATTAAAAGAAAAACATTAACTTAATCACTTATTTAAAACAAAAGGGACCAGTTATACTTAAGCCAATAACAGCCCAATGTGACAGCAAGGGGTTGAAGTCCACCTGGTTGAAGGTTATTAGTATGTGGGGAGAGTAGTGTTATGAGAAACAGCAGCGAAGGTAAATGTTTTCTAGAGATAATTGTATGTCAACTTTGTGTAATCGAAAAAGTTTTGCTTGGTTTACTAAGTAGCAAAGGAACTAACGACCTCTGAATGGGAGAACAGTATGTTAAAAAACTCTATGTTAAAGAAATTAATGCCATGATGGTTAAATGAAATGTAGAATCCTGGATTAGATGCTGGACATCAAAACAGACACCTGATGGGTTTGTGTGAGGCATCTGGATTACAGCATTTCATCAGTGTGCCGGTCCATTGTACTACCGCGTTTATGAAAAAAAAAAAAAAAAAATTCCGTGTTTGCAGAAACCCCCTCCAAAGTGGTAGAGGTAGATGACATTGCATCTGCTGTACTATTTCTAACTTGTAGAAAAACATAATATCTCCTGCACACATAGTGGTGGCAGAAAAATAAAGGAAGGGTTAGCAAAATATTAACATTTGTAGAATTTGGATGAAAGTTACAAAGGAATTTTTTGCAATATTTTTAAAGCTTCTTTTTGGAAACCTGAAAATATGTCACAATATTTATAGACAGAAAAGTAATGTCATCTGCAATGTAAAACAGAGTGAGAGACGACCCCTGAAAGCGTTTGGGAATATTATCGTGAAAATCGGCATGAGCTTCATGTTGAGGGAAATGAGTTTAGCAGAATTTAAAATGTGTGTATCTTTCAATCTAGCGACTCCATTTCTAACATCTAGTTCATGTACAAAAACAAATATGTGCATGTATGTATTTATTATAATATTGTTCTGAATTAGGAAGGAGACCTTTACATTTCTATCCTACACAAAAATAGGAGGCAGAAGTTAAGATGTATTATGTTCCCAACTGGAAAGAACTTCCATATATGTCAAATGGGAAAAATAATTGCAAAACTATGCATAAGGCAAAAAACCGTTTGTCATATTTCCTGATTTTAAATGGCCTTTCATATTTAAAAAGTAGCTAGAGGTTGGACATGCCCTGAGTACGTTCTGAGTGTGACAACAATGGTGACACTTGGTGAATTGGTAGGGTTTAAAGGAAGGTTGTAACAGCAAGGCTCAGTGAAATGCTAGTGCTTTGTAACATAGCAGCACACTCAGGCATTACCTGTGTAATGCCTCACAAGTGACAGTCACACACTGCCTGACCAAATACGTAGCACTATAGTGGGGTGGAATACAGCCCCAGTAAGGAGAGCAGGAAACTGTGCTTGGCTGCAGCCTGCAGGAATGGGGAGGTAAAAGAGAAAAAACACGCTAGTCTGCTCCCCACCATGCCACAAGTACTGGAGAGAAGTCAACTTCACAAGAGAACAGTTGATTCTGGCTCATGGTTTGAGCAGTAGCAGTCCATCGTTGGTTGTTTCCGTGGTCTTGGGGCCTGTGGCCAGGCATAGCACTAAGGCAGGAGCGCGTGGAAGCACAGAGCAGTTCCCCTGAGGTGTCAGAGAACGGAGGAGCCAGGGCCCCGACATCACCCTCTGCCTCTCAACCTACCCTCTTCCTCAGTCCCCCGACATGGAGATTCTATCACCTACCCACAGGTCCACAGAGCGGAGACCAAGCATTTAACACATGCCCTTGAAGGCCATTATGTCACAGCTCTTAGGCTCCGAAGGAACAACCAGAGTAATAACGGGAGGAAAACTGAGTAGGGGTGACTGAAACGGCAACAGAAAGTAAGAAAACCTTGTTATTTGTGGGAAGATGTTAACTTTTATTTTAATGACACTGAATTGGATGCATCAGCTCTCACAATTCTAGAAATACAAAATACTGACAGCAGGCAGGCGGGAACTGCCCTGAGTTATGACCAAACTGTTGAGAGACATATTAAAACTTAATGATCAGCAGGGCTTCATTCGTATGATTGCTACCTGACATCCTATTTGAAGTTATGGATGTATGCTTAATCCTGGGATGGTTACTTACATACACTAGGGTACTAAACTATATCGAGGAGGCTACAGTATATTTCAGAAAAGACACATGTTCAGCAAATACAGTTCTCTATGTGAGGGCCTTGAGTATGGTTCATCTTCCACTTAAAACTCTGGATCATAATCCCCAAAATGAATGCAATTTGCAAAAATAAAAAAAAAATTCATAAGTATTATTATGCCACATAAAAATTTAAATGCTTTAAATCCTGTTCAAGACATTCCTCCCCTCTCCCAGTTTCATTTAAGCATTGCTGCCCTGGGTCTTAGTAGGACATTGATGTTCATCAATAAGGTTATTGTGGCATCTTAGAATCATCCAAATGGTTACAGTTTTGCAACTAGGGGGTGCTGGAGGACTACAGAGGATTAGAGTATAGCCCATTAAAAGTTTCTCAATGAGGGTCTTTAGTCATCAATGAACTAAATAGCATTAAATTACACATAAATAGTTTGCAGAATATTTTAATATATTATTTAATACATTATACCATCAAATGAATACACAAACTCACTTGAAACTCTCCCAATTTTAACTTGGTCTTTTGTATCTGCTACTGCTAGACCTAATTTCACCAATGGTAGAAGTAAAAAGGTGCATTGAATGGGGTATTTTTAGGAATGGAGCCATCTCAAAATGAGACTTAGTGCTTACTTTTAGGCTGGATTAGGGCAAAGAAAGGAAATCTCAGTTGTCTAGACTTCTGGCCAGAGGAAACCAAAGTGGGAATAAAGTCTAACATAAACAAAGGCATAATTTACTTACTTTTTAAGTGTTTTGCAATACATCCCAAAATATTCAAATAAATAAAAATAAGAAAATATTTTTAATTTTACTTAAAATACGTAAGCATTTTAATGTAATGACGTTAAAATTTTACTGATAGGGGATATTCTTTCCAGTTTTACTTCTAGTAACATGAGATTTGTTTCCTTTTGATTCACTAAAATGATCTTAAATAACATATCTATTAGTGCATTCCAATTTAAAATTTGTATAACCGCTTTTAAGGCACAATGCTTAAGAATAGTCCATATCAACAAACGAAATTCATGGAAATACACTTAAGCTTTACGGTGGATTCAATAAACTTTTCATCTTGTGTAAATGATGTATCTATCTTTTATTTACTTTTATTTTGTTAAGATCCAGAATTTAGAATTTACTGATGGAAGTTCAGACTCTCTTCGTTTCAAAAATGCATACTTTGTTTCTTAAGCTGTCATTTTGATCATAAAGATAACAAGGATCTGATTTTACTAATCAATAATTTTCTGAACTTTATTTCTCCACAGTGTGAATAATTTATAATGGATATAGTTCCACTTACAAAGTTTCAACAATATGAATACAACTCTGCTTAATCTGTGATAATGCCATCTAAAATAATACAAGAATAAAGATGTCTTTCTCTGAAATTTACAAAGATGGGACTCTGGAGTAGGACACACATTAAAAAGGTGACCACGAAGGGAACCAGCGTGCACAACATTTTGTATTCAGAGTTATCTGACGTATTTGCAGCTTACAATAACTGAAAAGAACTGCTCGGATTCCTATTGTGTAGTATGCGCATGGTCCAGGTATTCTTGAAGTAACAAGTTTGCGATTTCTATGTACATCGTCGTTAGAGCGGACATTAGAGGCACATGCTGCCATTCGAAGGGAAGGTGCTATGTTTTGTCATCCTCGAACGGCAATCCCAAATGCAATGTATTGCTGTGAAAATGCCAACGTTTTCGCAGATCGGCAAATATGAACGCAGTTGGTCACAATGAAATGGGATTTTACTTTATACAGATGGAAGAGGTGTATCACAAATATATAGACCAATAGATCACATTAAAGAAGAGGAAGCAGAAAGGAAATAATGCTCTGGCATAAAGATCGATCCGCTTGGCCGCTGTTGGGATTACTGGCTTGGCCGGGGGAGGCTTCTTGCTGTTCTTTGCTTGAGACTTTCCCAGGCCGTTGTTGACTTCGATGGGTTTCCCATAGCAGTCGTAATTGGATAACTCAAAATCTCTGGGTAAGCTTCCCACGATGCTGAAGTCATTGGATCTCAGGTCGGATTTGGAAGTACAAACCTTTTTACACCTGGTCTCACCCACCTGAGGAGAAACATTAAGGACGGAAAGCATTTAGAATTTTTCCACATGTAAAACACATATCTTCCAAAGGATATTTTACAAACTGACAGGTTCCACAGGAGATATTTGTTATGTCACAAAGAACAGAGATGACAGTCAACTGATCAAACCATCAGACTGCTGGAACATTTAGCTGAAGTGTGTCATGGAACCAACTTCTGATTGTGTTAAGGAATCAAAGCCCAAATCAACTTTTATTCTAGTGTGTGACAGTTTCCTCAATTTGAAGATCAAGAATCAAAAATCCACCTCTGGTCCAGTACCTAACCACGGCAGAGAGGCTGTTACTACAATGCATAGATTTAAGGAAACTTCGTGTTCCTCTAACCCTTGCTTTCCCTACTGAATCTATTTCTAAGCAAGGCTGCTTATAAGTGACAGGGGAACTCACCCCTTAATAAGACTGTGCCTCTAAACCATGTTCCAGGGATTTAGCTCAGTGGTGCAGTGCCTGCCTGGCAAGCCCTGAGTTTAATTCTGGTACCAAAAAATAAAAAACAAAACATGGTCACAATGACTATGAACAAGTGATAGGCACTTGAAACTTGGGGGCTAACGTTGCATTAAACAACCACCCTAAGGAAATACAAAGGTTGTCTATGCTTCAGCTAGATCAGGAGGTGCAGAGATGATGCACTTACTGATTTCTGAATGATTAAATTGGAATGAATTTCTTCTAAAAACAATACCTAGTTCCCACTGAATCCCAGCAGTGACAGATGCTCTTAGACTGGCGGAAACCTCCAGTGTACAGAACAGCACTCACATTTGCTCCCTTGCTTGACTTTCTCACTGTTACTACTGAGTTTCATGATTATTCTTCTTTTTTGGGGGAGGGGGAGATCAGGGATCAAACTCATGACCTCGTGCTTTCCAGGCAGGCATTTATGCCACTGAGCTAAATCCTTGGGCCTTGTGATGTGTATTTGAAATTTTCACCACTGACATTTAGTAAGTTTTTGGTGAAAAGGGAATCCATTTCATTGTATATGGTTTGTGTATTACTGCGACTTGGGCTTTTGCTTTCTTAGCAAAGTAATTCATTGACTGATTCTAGAAATTCTGTTTACATGTACTAGATAGTGCTGGGTAAAACAATTCTGCCTCATAAAAATAAAACATTTCTCAGAAGTACATTAGGCACCAGTAATTATCCTTTATTTGAACAAATGCTGATATATATCTCCTGGGCAGTTTTCAAAGATAGCCAAGTAAAATACACTCAGTGAAAAGTCAGCTTCACCAGAATCTACTCCTCTTATCAAATAAAAACATGTACCTATTGACTGACCAGGGCTGTGGTAATTACCTTGAGTTGATCATTACCCATTGTACACATATGGGTCATACTGTACCTCATAAACATTTGCAAATATTATTTGTAAAAAAATACAAAAGTAAAAATCACAAAATGAGCACATGGATGCACACTTAAAATCCCAGCACGCTGGGAGGCTGAGGCAGGAGAATATTAAGTTCAAGTCCAATGCCAACAACTAGGAACACAGGGAGATTTAATCTCAAAAAAAAAAAAAAAAAAAAAAAAAGTTTAAAAAAAGAGCTGGAACATATCTCAGGAAAAAAAAACCGTGGTTTCTATCCGCAGTAACACCAAAAAGCAACAAACAAACAAACAAAAACATTAAAAAGCATATCTACACCTACCATATGTGTAAGCTATTTCTCTTTTTTCTAGTTAAGAACACACGTACATTTGAGGCTAGTAAACAAAGGTTGGCAGTATTATTATATATCTCACTGCTCATCTAAATGTGTGACTAGGTAAGAATCTCTAAATATATTTATGTGAATCTAATTATGGAAATATACATAAAAATGTTGGTAAGGGTGAACCGGGAATGAAGAGATAAGAGTTCATGCCTCTGCCAGGTGAGGAGGTGGAAATACCTTGCAATGCCAGCACTTAGGAGACTGAGGCAGGAAGCTCACCAGGAGCTCAAAGTCAGCCTGCACTAACCCTGTCTCAAACATAATTAAGTACATAAATAAATAAATAGAGTCACTCTCCCTAAGTTTTCATACTTAAAAAAAAAAAAAATCACTGGCACAATGACACACCTCCTTTATAAAACTGCCACAAGCAGACAACCCAAACAGCGAGATGAGCTCTCAGTTAGTGGCTGAGGACCATTCTAAGGAACCCAGATTCCCAGCCCCATGCACCCCTTTTAAATGAGAAGTGAGCAGGTGTCCCTTGTGAGGTCACCCTTCCTGTGCCCACCTGGCATCAACCCCACCTGGGTTCCGTCCACATCAGTTTGTACCCTGTGTCCTGCAAAATACCTGGCACAACAAAATGAGGACCAGCTGACCACTGAGAGAGAGGATGAAGCTAGCCGCTAAAATCTAAATTCTGCACTTTTGATGTACAGAAATGCGCACATAACTTAAAACGTGCTTAGCCAAATATTTCTACTTCTGGGTCTCCACTGCCTGCCCCACTTAAGTTGCCCCAGCTGAATTTTTAAGACCACATTCGGCGGCGGGTCAGCCACCAACCTCCACCCCCAGGCACATGTGCCTTTCTGCTCCTGCTGCAGCGCACCAGGCAGGAGAAGGGGACACAAGCACACCAGGGCCCTCTGCGGACCTCCAGAAAACAAAGGCACTCTGCATCTGACAGCATCTTCAGACTCAGGGCCACATGTCAAGTCGGGCGCCTGAGGAGCCTCAGTCTTTCTTGCTCGATTTTGAATTTCCCAAGTCAAAGATTTTAGATGTGGTTAATGCTGCTTTGGAACCCACTCATCAAAACAAAGAAGGACTTCATTCTGCAGCAGAGGTAGGCACTTACTGCTACCTATTTCTATTTTTTCACAAATGACCAATGTATTTTCAGTAGCAATGCTCTCACTGTACATCATGCTTTTCACACAGCTCAGAGTATGACTCTAGTTTCCATAAATAACTAAATACACGGCCAAATTTACGTGGTATCATGACCCCATAAGCTAAGTCACACATAAATACTTGAAAAATTCCAATGTATTTTATTTATATAATTGTATCTTTAACTGTGGTAGTTTTCATAATTTCCTAATTTCAGAAAACCAAACTGTACAGTTTACCAAAACTGTACAAATATGATGGTATACTTATTCAGAGATTAATTTTTATAAATGTATTGATCAGAGAAGAATAAACTTCTTCCATGCCAAAGCAACATAATAATGCACTCCTAAAAGCTTCAAGTTGTTTATGCTAGTGATATAATTCTTTAAAGCCTCTTTCAGCAATAAATTAGAAGATTGTTCCATTCAAAATCAGTGTCATGTGTGTGTGTGTGTGTGTGTGTGTGTGTGTGTGTGTGTGTGTGCGCGCGCGCGCGCGCACCCAGAGGCATAGGAATGCTCTGGTGAAGAGAAATAATTTTTAAATGCATGAGAAGACAAAGTGAGTAATACTTGATTCTCTACTGAGCAAAGTCTTCTAGGATTCTTAAATAAGTCTGTATTATTCGACTGGTTGGCTGAAGAGTTCTTGTTATATTTTGAGATTTTTACTCTAACTTTTTTTCATTAATACTTGTTGGGCCTTATTATTGTATCAACTATAGACATAAAACTACAAAATTTAGAATGTATCATTTTCAACTGTCACAATACCACATGGAAAGGGACAAAATAAAGTGCTTAAAATAAGGAAATAACTCAACACAGTCTTAGAAGTAAATTTTGTCATATAAACCTACAATTTATAATTGTGCGATTATTCCTTGCAATTAAGATATATGCCACTTACTTTGTCTTTTTTATACACATTTCTGTCTTGTTTGAAAAATTACTGGTAACAGCACTGGGCAGTGTGGTAACAAAACTGTCAAGAATGAAGCGTGGTGCAGACAAAAATTTCTTAGTGCTTCCCAGATCAGCCTCCGGGAGTCTCTCTCTCTGGTTCCCACAGGTTTGACTCCACAACATTTCAAACCAATTTCAGACAACATTTCTTGAGTTAGGACCTTAAGCATGGCTTTATGACAGCTATTTTCTAGGTGAGTAAGGTATGTTCAGAGGAATCCGTATATACTTAACTGCATTTAAATCAATTCTTAGTTTTGAAGACTTATCATGGCCACCAAGAAACAACTGTCTCATTCATAAATGAGCCACAACTTATATTTGCTAATGTATTCAAAATCATGGGTCTGAATGCTACCAAAATACTGGTACCACTGTCTTTCATCCACAAAATCTTTGAGGAAGGATAGGACCCAGGCCAGCAATAGGGGGCTATTAACAAGAAAGGGCCCTCAACTACTTTTGTTGGATGATGAGAAATAAATGAATAAAAGAACAATATGTATGAATAAAGGCTCAAAAAATGTGATGCATAAGAAATCACCTCCTCTGAAAGTGGAAAAAACCCTGATAATTCTATGTTTTATTGCATATTTTTGCATGTGGGCCATAAACTCAACCTCATTCTGAGCAGAACTCAGCCACAGACTCTGCCTCCTGGGAGACACAGTAGCCCATGTTTCAGATCCCTCTGGCTCAGTTCTGTGAAAATCCCCAGCGTCCTGTGTAAAAGCAGGGAAGGAGGAAGGGGAGTGGGGACCACAGTAACCATGAAAGGTGGAGGAGAAGAGAGGTTTCCTTGGGGATCTCCGGGCGGAAGGACTGAGTGGGGATTTGTAGCAACTGGAAAATCCAATGGCTGCTGCACGAAGTCCCCCAGGATAGTCTGCTCTGTCTAGCCAGAGGGCAGAATGAGGCAGCCCCATGACACAGAAAACTTTTAGCCCATACCATCTGGGATTCACCCAAATGTCATGGGGAACAAACAGTTCTGGCCCTGTTCCTTCCCACTGCAAGGGCTAAGGAGCAGGCCGAGCCTTCACCTAAGGAGGCTACCTCAAGGCACTGTGGCCCTACTGAAGCTGCTGGAGAAGGCTGTGGGAGGATGGGATGACTCCCTTTTCCAAGCCCACCAAGAAGCCCTCACATCCTGCTTGGGGTCGGTGGAGACCTTGCAGGGAGCACAAACATCTGATCCTACCCGAAAGTCTCAAGAGGAAGAGGTCTTCCTCTTCGGCACTGCAGGACAATGTGGGGAGTCAGCCGCCAAGTCCGCGGGGCTTCATGGACAAGGGGATCCTCCTCTGCCAGGTACTGCAAGGAGCCACCCTCACCTAGCAAGCTCCTTCCACCTGGCAGTTAGTAGTTCTCCCTCTTCCTTCCTGGCTCAGAATCAGAGAAAGTCAGCCATAGAGCGGATAAATGACATTCAGAGTTGCAAAACATACAATATGAAAATGTAATAGAAAGATCCACTCGAAATCGTTTATCATGCAATGAACTGGGAAAGACTTCAAATTGAATTTAAAGATCAGTGGATGTCAAATCCAAGTGTCAAACTGAAATTGATGTTTAAATGTCCATGATAACAATGCTTCAGTGAAATGCTAGATAGATTTGAAACAATGAAAGTCTCAGGAGAAAGAAAATACAAATCAGTGTCAAAAATGGAATACATACTCACAGGCTGTTATGAGCCATGTCTAGAAGATTCTCCAAACTCTCATGCAGTCATAGGCAGGGCTTTTTTCAGGTGGCAGGATCTGGCATGGGTGATGCTGGATTAAGGATGGGATGCTGGGAGCAAGGGGGTGTGAATGTTTAATTAACCCACTGATGGGTTTGGCATGGTTCTGAGTGGGAATAATGAGAATACCCACCTGGTGTGAATGCCACCTGCCCTCAGCGCATGAAGCTGGGTTGAATATAAAGTACAGAAAGGGGACTGCTGCTGTCACTCACTGCTTTGCTACCCTACTGTGTGCTGACTTGCTGGCTTCTACCTGCCATGAACTGTTTCTCCTTTGCCAGACCACCCTGCCTTTGAGCCAGCCAACATTGAGCGGAAACCTCTACAGACAGTAAGCTAAATAACTTTCCCCCTTTAACTTTGGGAGTTGAGTATTTTGTTTCATCAATAAGAAGAGTAAGTCATACGCATACATACATTCATACCAAATGGGGTTTTTAGAACTGAAAATGATTAATAACCAAACCATAAATCTCATGAATCACACTGGAGGAAAGCATCACTGCACTGAGAATTATAAATAATCGGGCAGAGAAAAGAGACCAGTAAGTGAATAGAGGCCCAATGTATAGGAGTGTAACAGTGGCTGTGGCACTTGTGTGATTGTAGTCCTTAAAATAAGCAAGAAAGGGACAAAGGTGAAAAAGTACTCAAAGAAATGATAACTGAAAAGTAAGTTTTCCAAGTGATATAAACCTGCATTTTCAATAAATACTACAATTTTTAAAAAGATTAACCCAAAGAAATCCATGAATAGACACACAGTAATTGCACTTCAGATCACTAAACACATACGCATTATTTTACAATGCAGGGACGAATAACACTGTGTGTCCACAGAGGGAAGAGCAATGAGAAGGTTCTGCTCTTATGAGAAGAATGGGAAGTCAGAGGGGAACGCAGAGCACTTGTTAGGTGATGATAGCACTGATGGAAGAGAACTGTGGTTCCCACCATTCTGCACCTACAACAACTGTCCTTCAGAAAGGAGGTGAAAATCAAGACATTTGCAGATGCAGGAAACCACAGACTGTGCCAGCAAACCTGCCCGAGATAATAAATAAAGTGATTCTCTGAACATCAGGAAAATAATGAGACATAACTTCGAAATTGTCAGGACAAAATAAAGGACTCAGTAAGCAAAACATATAAGTAAGCTTTCCTGCTGCTCTGAGGTTTTAAAGTTATGTTGGTAAGGAAACAGAAACCAACATTATAGAAAGAATGTGGCTGTCCATACCTTTGGGAGAAACAATGATAAAATGAGCAGAGAAAGGGTTGTAAAGAGGTCGTGACTTTGTACACATCAGTGTCAGGACTAGCTGACCACTTTAAGTCATTTATGTGTAATGTAAAATTGAAACAAACACTGCAGGAGTCACACAGAAAGATACACTTAAAACTGATGAAACAGTGGTGTGTGGTGGTGTATGCCTATAATCCCAGCAACCCAGGAGGTTGCGGCGAAGAATGGCAAGGTCTAGCCACACCTGAGGAGGTTAGCTGTATTCTGGCAAAATCTCCACTCCGGGGCCACCATCAAATCACCAGTGTAGTCTGGACTCCTAAATCTCAGTGTAAAGTGCTCAGGAACTATTAGTAAGACTTTGATTGCCTTCTAAGCAGTATTTAACTTAGGTGATTTGAATGTTTTCTGAAAAGCACATTCTTTGCAAAGCATTCATTGCTCAGTTCCTTTTCATCAGAAGAAAGCAAGCAAGCAAGGCCCAGTTCCCCCTCCACCCCGCAGCTGCCCCTCTAGGCCCTGTGGGCAGTGTTCCTGCTCACCTGCAGGGTGCTGATGTGGACAGGAGTCCCTGTGCCATTCACAGTGTTCTTTTTCGCCACACTCCCGCCTTTGCCATCAGCTTGCTCGGCCTTAGCAATCCTGGCCTTTTCTGCTTCCACTCGTTTGGGGTTGTTTAGCATCACCTGCACCACTGCGTACTCCACCAGGGAGGCAAACCCGAAGAGGAGACAGGCGATAAGCCAGACGTCCAGCGCCTTCACGTAGGACACTTTGGGGAGTTCAGCAGCCAGGGTGGTACACTCGGAGGCCAAGCTGAGGACGGAGAAGATGCCTGCAGACACAGAAGGGGATGGCAGGGGGGTTGCATGGCCCTGTGGCAAGCAGGCTCTGAAATCCTGCTCTTCCCCCACAGCTGTCTGTCCAGCGAATTTCAGCGGTCACAGAGAACTCATTAGGTGCCCTCGGGCTCCAAGACAATTACACAGAGGCAATTACAGGTGCTCTGTGCTTTTGCCAGCTGTGCTGGTAACAGAACCAGGGCTACTTGTTGTGGGGAAAGAGCTCTGCCACGCCCTCAGCCCACAAAGGGGGCTTTTGTGAAAGGGCATTAATTATGATTAGGAATGGCAGTAAATACTTTTTTAAAAAACAAATACATATTTAAGCCAACATATAAGAACAGAATTTCAGTCTGGCTTAAGTATCAAAGATGCCTACAGCATCTCTGAGGAAGCCACAAAGCCCTCCGCTGAGGGAGGGTTAAGTTTTCAGCTTTGTTCTAGAGAGATTCCAGTTATGGAGGGAATTTACACCCGTGAGCAACTATCTCTAAGCTACATCTGCTCTCTTGAACATACACAGCAACTTTCTTTTTTTTTTTTTTTTTTTTTTTTTGGTCTTTTTCATTTTTATCGGTACCGGGGATTGAACTCACGACGCCTGCTTGCAAGGCAGGTGCTTATGCCGCTGAGCTAAATCCCCAGCCCCACAGCAACTTTCTTATAAGAACTATTTTCACAATAAAAAAACATCTAATAGAGAAGTCAAAGTAGAGGACACTCCTGATTATTTCAGGGAAAAAACCCAAATGATTCCAACTTTGCCAGGAAAGGCATAAAATTCTTCTTGATGTAATATTACTGCATATATATATATATATATGTATTCAAGTAATGTAATTAAAGTTATTATATAATGTATATAATGCACAGTAATGTATGTATACAATATAATACATAGTAATGTATAACTTAGTTGTAAAACTTTGAATAAGTGCAATTCTGTGTCTCTTTCCTCTCCCCTTTGCTGCTCCCTGCCCCACATTCCTTTTTCTCCTCCTTCTTTCTGTCCTGCTTTCAGAGAGGGCTTGGAGGAAGAGGTCCCATTGGCATGGGCTCGGTGACCCTGGGTCCCAGGGAACTGCATTCCAGGCCAGAGAGTAACAGGTGAGCCTTGGCTCTGAACTCGCAGCTCACTTACAGGGCTGACTGTGCCCTCCTCTTCTTAGACCTGACCACCTCTAAGAAGTAATGCATAGATGATCATAATACTGAAAGGTGGGTGAAGCCCTCTTTTTTCTTCCCTTGCATGGTTAGCACTGTATTGTTACTAATAATCAGTGAAAACAATTAAAATTTAAGCCTATCAGTTGTATAATTCTAAGAGCTTCTGCAAAGTGTCAGTGTATGGTGCTGATGCCCATTCTTTGCAGGAGACAGCATTTGAGGCTCAAATTTGAAATGGCAATAATATTTATCCCAGGGCTTTCATGACTTCCTGTCCTCTGACACTATTCTCTCTTTTTTTTTATTTTTTTATTTTTTTTTAAAGTTTTTTTTTTTTATTTAAGAGGAAAAAGAGAAAAACACAAAACAAACCAAAGCGGCGTAAGGGTACACGCAATACAGAACTACAAAACAAAACAAAAAACCATAACAGTAAGAAATTACCTGCTAGTAGATTACACACTATTTTCTTGAAAATAGTTCCTCAAATCACAGTATCAAAGAACACAAGGTGGACATTCAAACAGGGAGACTGCAAACAGCTGTGTTCAATGTTCCAAAAACATTGATAAAGTCAGCTATTTAACACCCCCAAACACACTTGCTGTTATATCCGTTAGAGCTCCTTTTTTTTTTTTTTTTCCCTCTCTTTTTTACAACAAAATTTACACATCTTGGATTTTATTACTCCTTAGTGCTTATTACTTTCTTTGGGGGGGGGAAGAATACAGTCAAATATGGCAAAACAAAGCTGTCAGTCAATACCAAGGATAGACGTAGCACATGGTGTAGAACAGAGTACAAGTTTATCAACAATGGTTATCAACGTTGTCCCTTGTTTCCTTAAAAAGAATTGTCTATCTTATTAGATATTATAAAGTTGGACAAAACAGTAGAGAACAAGACCAATAAAACTTAGGCGTTGTAAACATTACAGGACTTCCAAAGAAGACAATAGTCAAATCAGAATGGGTATCTTAGTGAATCTTATTGTCTTCAAAGTAGTTGCCTATGTCTTCAAACTTGATACTATCATATAGAATGGAACAGAGTCTAATCAGTCAAAACAAGATCGTGGGAGTACTACAGGACTTCAAAACAAGTTAATAGGAAATCGAAAAGAGTTACTATTTATATATCCTAATTTTTTTGAATTTTTTCTTTAAGACAAACGTAAGAAATGACTAAATAATTTTTTTTTGAAACAATAAGGGGGAGATTGAGATAAAACAGGACATAACAATATAACAATAGAGGTCACAGCATGACTGTTTCAATAACCTAGTACTTCACCACCTTATAACCTGACTTAATAGTAGTTACCATAGTGTCTTTTTCCTTGAAATATTTGGGTAAAACTTCATATACTCTAGCTTCAAATATTTTCATATCAAGAAGCCCAGAATAAAGCCTTTCTAATTAATGAGTGAAAACTTTATAAGGCTTCAAGGCCACCTAATGGGGAATCATGATTACCACATATTTTTATATATTTGAATCATTACTTACATTAGGGAAACTATTCGGTATTCACACATGCGAGATTGATTTATTTCACTTATGAGTATGGTCTCAAGTTGTGCCCATTTATTGATAAATATCTCAATGTGATCCTTCTTTATAGCTGAATAATACTCCATTGTATAGAAATACCACAACTTTTTTATCCATTCCTCAGTTGATGGGCACTTGGGTTGTTTCCAAGATCTGGCGATTACAAATTGTGCTGCTATAAACATAGGTGCACATATATCACTGTGGTATGATGCTTTCAGTTCTTCTGGGAATATGCCTAGAAGTGGAATAGCTGGAATAAATGGGATTTCCAGTCCCAACTTTTTGAGAAATCTCCAGACAGATCTCCACAAAGGCTGTACCAGTCTACACTCCCACCAGCAGTGCAGGAGAGTTCCTTTTTCCCCACAGCCTCTCCAGCATTTGTTGTCGGTTTTCTTGATCCTGGCCATTCTTTCAGGAGTGAGATGGTATCTCAGTGTGGTTTTAATTTGCATTTCTCTAATGACCAATGATGATGAGCATTTTTTCATGTATTTATTTGCCATTTGCATTTCTTCATCTGAGAATTGCATATTCATCTCAGATGCCCATTTTTGGATTGGATCTTTGAATTTCGGAGGTCTGAGTTTCTTTAATTCTTTATATGTTTTAGACAAGAGGCCCGTGTCTGAGAGAGAGTTCACTAAAATCTTTTCCCAGTTTGTGGGTTTTCTTTTCACTATGCTGGAGATTTCTTTTGACATGCAGAAACTTTTTAATAAGAAGTGGTCCCAGTTATTGATTCTGGGAAGTATTTCCCGTGCGGTTTGAGTCCTGTTCATGAATTCTTTACCTACTCCTATGTCTCCAAGGTTTCTACCTATTTTGTCTTCCAATAGATTTAGTGTTTCTGTTTTAATATTCAGATCTTTGACCCATTTACATTTTAATTTAGTACATGGTGATAGACATGGGTCTAGCTTTAGTTTTCGGCAAATGGAGAGCCAGTTTTTCCAGCACCATTTATTAAAGAGACTGTCGTTCTTCCAGTGAACCTGCTTGGCTCCTTTATCAAAAATAAGGTGGTTGAGTGTGTTCGTAGTTGTGGTTGTATCTTCTAATCTATTCCACTGATCTTCAGCTCTGTTTTGATTCCAATACCATGTTGATTTTACTACTGTTGCTTTGTAGTATAACTTCAAGTCAGGGATTGTGATGCCTCCTGCTTTGTCTTTGCTGCTTAGAATTGCCTTTGCGATTCTAGGTCTCTTCTGGTTCCAGATGAAATTTAGGAGTGATTTCTCTAGGTCTATAAGGTATGTTGATGGAATTTCTATTGGGATTGCATTGAATCTGTATAACAGTTTTGGGAGAATGGCCATTTTCACAATGTTTGTTCTTCCTATCCATGAGCAAGGGATGTCTTTCCATTTTCTGAGATCATCTTCAATTTCCTTTTTCAGTGTATTATAATTTTCACTGTATAAGTCTTTCACTTCTTTCGTAAGAGTAATTCCTAAATATTTCATTTTTTTGCTTGCTAATGTGAATAGTCCAGTTTCTCTTATTTCCCTCTCTGTAATTTTGTTGTTCGTGTATAGGAATGCTATTGATTTCTGAGTATTGATTTTGTATCCAGCCACATTACTGAATTTATTTATTGTATCTAAGAGTATTTGAATGGAGTTTAGGGGGTCTTCTATGTAGAGTATCATGTCATCTGCAAACAATGATAATTTAACTTCTTCTTTTCCTATCTTTACCCCTTTTATTTCTCTTTCTTGCCTAATTGCTCTGGCTAGTACTTCCAGTACTATATTAAATAGGAGTGGTGATAAAGGACATCCTTGTCTTGTACCCGATTTTAAAGTAAAGGCTTTCAATTTTTGGCCATTTAGTATGATGCTGGCTGTTGGTTTGTCATAAATGGCCTTTATTATATTGAGGTAAAGACCATTTATTCCAATTTTCTGTAAAGTTCTTATCATGAATAAGTGTTGGACCTTATCGAAGGCTTTTTCTGCATCTATAGAGATGATCATGTGATTCTTATTTTTGGCTTTATTGATATGGTGGATTACATTTATTGATTTGCGTATGTTGAAACATCCTTGCATTCCTGGGATGAATCCCACCTGGTCATGGTGTATAATCTTCTTGATGATTTGCTGGATCCTATTTGCCAATATTTTATTGAGGATTTTTGAATCTGTGTTCATTAGGGAGATCGGTCTATAGTTCTCTTTTATAGTTGGGTCTTTCTCAGGTTTTGGTACTAGAGTAATATTTGCTTCCAGGAATGACTTAGGAAGGATTGCTTCCCTTTCAATTTCATTGAATAGTTTGAGGAGTGTCGGCATTAGGTCTTCTTTATATTTCTTGTAGAATTCTGCAGTGAATCCATCTGGGCCTGGGCTCTTCTTGGTGGGCAAGGACCCAATTACATTCTCAATTTCATTAGCAGAGATTGGGTTATTCAACAGTTTTATATCCTCTTGATCTAGCTTTGGTACTTCATATGCTTCTAAGAATCTCTCTATTTCTTCTGTGTTATCAAACTTTTGAGAGTAGAGGTTTTCGAAATAGGTGTTGATGATCCTCTGTATTTCTATTGGGTCTGTAGTGATTTCTCCTTTTTCATTTCTTATTGCATGAATTTGAGCTTTTTCTTTCCTTTTTTTAATAAGGTTGGCTAGGGGCTTATCGATTTTATTTATTCTTTCAAAGAACCAACTCTTTGATTCGTTGATTCTTTGGATTGTTTTCTTAGTCTCTATTGCATTGATTTCTGCTCTGATTCTTATAATTTCCTCTCTTCTTTTGGCTTTGGGCTTGACTTGCTCTTCTTTTTCTAGCTGTTTGAGGTGTAGCATCAAGTTATTTACTTGTATTCGTTCTGTTTTCCTGATGTGGGAACTCAGTGCAATAAATTTTCCTCTCAGAACGGCTTTCATTGCATCCCACAGATTCCGGTAAGTTGTATCTGCATTTTCATTTTCTTTTAGGTATTGTTTAATTTCTTCTTTAATTTCTTCTGTGACCCACTGATTACTCAAGAGTGTGTTATTTAGTTTCCATGTGTTTGCGGAATTTTTGCAGTATCCTTTGTCATTAATTTCTAATTTCAGAGCGCTATGATCCGATAATATGCAAGGGATGATTTCAACTCTTTTGCATTTGCTTAAATATGTTCTGTGAGCTAATATATGGTCTATTTTAGAAAATGATCCATGTACTGCTGAGAAGAATGTGTATTCTGATGTTGTTGGGTGGAACATTCTGTATATGTCTATCAAACCCATTTGTTCACAGGTGTGATTCAGTTCTGTTATTTCTTTGCTCATTTTCTGTCTGGTTGATCTGTCCCTTGGTGTCAGTGGTGTATTAAGGTCTCCTGTTACAATTGTGTTACTGATAATTTGAGTTTTCATTTCTGTTAATAATTGTTTTGTATAACTGGGTGCTCTGGAGTTTGGTGCGTATATATTTAAGATAGTTATCTCTTCCTCTTGGAGTTTTCCCCTTACGAGTATGTAGTGACCTTCTTTGTCCTTTATGGTCATTGTTGGTTTAAAGTTCACGTTGTCTGCAAACAGAATGGCTACTCCTGCCTTTTTTTGGATTCCTGCTGCATGAAGAATTGTTTTCCATCCTTTGACTTTCAGTCTGTGAGTATCTTTCTGGGTTAGATGGGTTTCCTGTAAACAGCATATGGTTGGATTTTGTTTCTTGATCCATTCTGCTAGTCTGTTTCTTTTGATTGGTGCATTGAGACCATTTACATTAATGGTTATTACTGTTAAATGCTGGTTAATTGTAGGAATGTTATCTCTCTGCTGTTGCATCTTTATCTTTCGGTTCTGTTTAATTATTTGCTTTTCTTAGTGGTTTTTTCCTTTGTGTATCTAAACTGTCTTTCAATATTTTTTGCAGGGTTGGTTTGGTGTTCATGAAGTTCTTCAGCTGTTCTTTGTCATGGAAGTATCGTATTGCACCATCTATTTTGAATGATAGTTTTGCAGGATATATCAGTCTTGGTTGGAAATCATTTTGCTTTAGGATCTGGAATACTTCACTCCATGCTCTTCTTGACTTTATGGTTTGTGCTGAGAAGTCTGCTGTGATTCTGATAGGTTTTCCTTTATAAGTGATTTGTCTTTTCTCTCTGACAGCTTTTAATAATCTATTCTTGTGTTGGATTTCTGGGATGGTGACTATTATATGTCTGGGTGTAGTTTTATTTTGGTTATGACTGTTTGGAGTTCTATATGCTTCACTGATCCTGATGTCAGTTTCTGATCTCATGCTTGGGAAATTTTCAGCTATTACTTCTCTAAATATCCTCCTGACATCCTTCATGTTGTCTCCCTCTCTTTCATTAATCCCTATCATTCTTATGTTATTCTTCTTTGCATCGTCTTGCAGTTGTTGAATTGTTGTTTCCTGGTTCCTTGTTATTTTCAAAAGATCTTTCCTTTCCTGTTCACTAGCTGCAATCCTGTCTTCAAGGTCTGAAATTCTATCTTCACTTTCATTAAGGCGGTTTTTACAACTTTCAGTGGAGTTTTTTATTTCCTGTATATCTCTGTGCATCTGCATTATGTATTCTGTTTGTTTCTTATATTGCTCGTCTAGGGATTCTATCTTTTTGTTTAGTTCCTCCAATTTTTTATCTGTGTTTTCTTTAGATATATTTAGAATCTCTTTCATTTCTTTTATCATTTCTTCTTTTATCTGGGAGATTATTTCGAGTTTGAATTTCTTTAAAGCTTCCTGGAGTTGCTTGTCAATTTCAGTGGCTATTGTGTCCGATATATGAGGTGGATGGGATATATTTTCTTCTATATACATCGCTCCTAGGGTTTCTTGAGATGGGCTGGACGTTTGAGGTTGTAATTTGGTCTTTCGTTTTGTCATTTTCCTATATTTCTGTGTTTCAAGTGTTACTTGAAAGCTTCCTCAGGATCTGTTGAAAATCCGCTTCTATGTTTGGAGCTACTGGGACTCTGGCGCCGCGCTACTCCAAGCCATTAGGCCTACAGAACCAGTGGCCCTCCTCTGCCTGCTCAGAACTCCGCAGTTCCAGACAAGCTGGGCCTCAGGGACACTGTGCGCCCACCTGCCCCTTGGAAGCTCCACAGTTCTTCAATCGCAGCCGGGTTAGGGTACTCACCACAGGCCGCAGTGCTTCAGGAACCTGTGGACCCTCCCTGGTTGCAGAGATATCCACAGTCCTCCAGACACGCAGAGAGGCCAGTGAGGGCACCCCAGATCTGCCCAGCTCCTCCTCTGCAGACCTGTGGCCAGGCGCGGCAGCTAAACAGGCTGGGCTAGGCTGGTAGTGTGGGCCAGCCAGCCTATCGGGAGCTCAGCAGGTCTCCAAATGAAGCCTGGAATGGGGAGGCTAATGTGGAAGCCTCAAACCCACCTCTCGCCTTCACTGCACCTGGAAGCCTGAGGGAACTCCAGCAGTCTGGGCGCAGAAATCCAGAGTCCTCCAGACACGCAGAGAGGCCAGTGAGGGCACCCCAGATCTGCCCAGCTCCTCCTCTGCAGACCTGTGGCCAGGCGCGGCAGCTAAACAGGCTGGGCTAGGCTGGTAGTGTGGGCCAGCCCACCTATTGGGAGCTCAGCAGGTCTCCAAATGAAGCCGGGCGACACTATTCTCTATGTCATCATCAAGTTTCTACTCTCTTAGAGTAAATATTCAGGTATCCAACTTATTTATTTTAACCAGTAAGCTGAGTCAGATTTTGAAAGACTAGAGCAATTGAAAATGTGAGCCTCAAATGCTGTCTCCTGGAAAGAAAGGGCATCAGCACCATACACTGACTTGTGCAAATGAAAACCACAATGGCTACATAGTGACTTGATCAGCTTGCAGTTTTTCTTACAGTAATTATTGTTGCTCCTGGAGAAAACTAAGATTAGTGAGTAGAATCATATTTTAAACTAATGAAAATACAGTATATACACACAATGAAGTACTACTCTGATATAAAGAAGGATAAACTGGAGTCATTTGTAGGGAAATGTAAGTTCCTGGAGACCATAAGTGAAAAAAAGCTTCAGACACAGTCTTAAATACCACAGGGCTTATCTTTTTTGAGCAAAGCAAAATATAAACAAAAAGCAAAATGAAGACAGATAATAGGGAACAGGGCAATGCATTTTGTTTGAATGGGAAAGAGATCAAGAGAAGGAAGCAGACAGGAGACAGGGGAAGGGAACAGGGTGGGAAAAATGAATTAACCATGTCCACGCACCAACTTCCCAGAGGGGAGGCAGTCAACACACAATGCAAACATGTACTAATAAAAATACAAATGGAAACAAACTAATACAGGTCCCAATGCTTTCCATCTTGGAAGTGGAGGGGAACATAAATGTTTAAGATCTTCTCAATTATTGCTAAACTTGATTATACTCATGGGCATTCATTTGGTGGTAAAACATCTTTTCAATTGCTCTATTGTGTCAAACTCTGACTCAGCTTACTGGTAAAAAAAAAGTAAATAAATAAAAGCCTGACTTAATTTTCCAAGACAAACTACACTGCCACAATTCTGTGTTTCCCTGACACACAGGGATAGAAACGAAAAAAGACAAAAAAAAAAAAAAAAAAAAAAAAAAAAAAAAATACAATTAATAAGCCTTTACCTAGAAGGATCAAGAAAAAAGAATTGATAATTGTCAATATCAGGCATGAGAACTGGACATCAAAAGGGAGTATTATGAACACTTTATGTTAACCATTTACAGCTCATCTAGAAATCTGGAAACCTGTGGGTGAAATAAACGCGAGAATCCACGTAGAAAGGCACATGAACGATCCCGGACACAAGGCTCCAGGGCCTTACCCAGCGGTACCCTGGCAGCGCTGGCATCAGGGTTGATCCAGAAGGACAGCCAGGAGAGGACCACGATCAGCAGCGTCGGGGCGTAGACGCCCATCATGTAAAAGCCTACCTGCCTCCTCAGGGTGAAGATGACCTCCACGCAAGTGTAGTAGCCTGTGGGAGACAGACACATTGCAGGTGTGAGCCATGCACCCACGCGCCGTGTGGCTTCACGGCTGCATCGCAGGTGGCAAGAGCAGCTGTTGGGCGTTCAGCTAAAGAGCCAGCAACCAAAGCTGTTGTCTAAGGACGAGATGTGAAAGAAAGGCGGTGTGGAACCCACTCCACCTCCTCCGCCCTGACCCTCGAGAGCCCACCTGCTGCTCCACACTGCTGGTGTCCAGGCACGGACTGAAAACTGTGAGCACAAAAGACACAGGGTGCTCAGAGCCAGTCTTCCTTCCTGCCCTCTGAGCCCTCCAATGCCCTCTAGATGGGGAAAGTAATTCTCTTTCTCATGTGGAGGCAGACACAGCCACTATAGCTAAGTCCACCATTGCCCTGGCATCAGCTGGAGCCATAAGTGAGAGGAGGGCATGTGGTAGGCTTTGCCCACCAGAGAAAGAAAACAAGCAACACCAACATACGGACAGTGCTCCATGCTATTTCCAGAAATTTTAGATTATTTAAAAAATATTTTGGTCCTTCCAGTTAGGAGTTAAAATATAAAGTTAATGCCTAAATGCAAACATTTAGATAAGAATTTCATTCACTACATAACAAAAGTAAGGTTAGGTGGAATATCACAAAGGTAAAATATGTATAGTTTTTTTTCGGTTGAAAAAATGCACAATTATTTTAAACACTGCAACAAATAATAAGTGATAATAAATGATAATAAATAATTTTGCACTCAAAATTGAAACAATTATGGAGGAAAGAACAGTGTTACTCTCCACTACCCAAGAGAGAGTAGTAACATTTATACAGCCTTCTTACCTGGGTTGCACACCTGCCTGGGTGCTAGAATAATCTTCACATTTTTCGATCATAGCACCTGGAGCAGTATTTGCACACAACAGAATCTTAATAAAAGCTGACTAAAAATTTACCTACATCTTCTTTACAAGTAATTCAAATGAGAAATCTTTTTCCAGTGTAAAATGCTGCCTCTGAGAGGTTAGAAAGGTAGAACATGGAACAAAAATTATTAGTTGCTTAAAACTGAACTAAAATGTAATTACAAGTACTTCCCTATTATATCAAAAACAAGCGAAAAAATCTGGAGCTTTTTTCCTAACTTTAATTTCAATAGAACTAGGCAATACATTAAGTTGTCCACAGGCTTTTAATATAGAAAAGTCAGACAATGAACAATGAACTTTGTTCTCATCAAGTATTTTAACTTTTCTTCCCAGACCAAAGAGAACATGTGTTTTTAGTTAATAATGATATGCAATACTTAAAAAGTACAATATTTTGTAAGTACCACCACTGAAATGAAGAAGGATCACAGAATTTCCACAAAGCAGTTCCAAAGCAGCTTGCTTTGTAACCCTATCATTTTTTCAGATTAATTTTAGATTCACCTACTGCATAGGAAATTGAGACTAACACATATCTGTCTCTTAACAAACTATAGACTTTTAGGCAGCCTCAGTTGTCCCAACGATTAGTACAAAGTAGCACGCTGTGAAATAAAATTTTACAGTTCAAATGAGAGCCTAAAGAACTGAAGTCTTGTGGTTTAAGCTAAATTTCCATCAAGTACCTTTTCAAAGGCACCATGATGAGATTCACAGGACCCGGATACATTTACCAGTGAAGCCCTTGTGTGATATGAATGTGGTTTGCTCCGTGAACTTTTATGAGAAACATTTCTGGGCCTTCTTTGATCTCCCCCTAGCATTGGTACCTTTATGAGGGGCAGGTGGCCAGCTAATTGCTATAAATGGTCACTGGGAAAATTCAATTTATTTTCTATTTCCTGTGAGGTTTTGTTTCATTATTCACTCAGGTTTCCAATTTATGTATTTTCATGTACTTATTTTCCCATATATTTCTTCACTGTGGTTATTTCTTTAGTCATAGAAAAACATAATTTCAATAATGCTCAGAGTGGAGTCATTCGGGCAAAATCAGAGAATATACTGGCAATCATTATATGCCACGCTCTACAGTAGGACATTGTTTAGAATCCCATGTATTCTAAATAACCTATCTTTATAAATATCATCCACACATGGTAGTGTTTTACTTATAACCAGTGATGATTTATGTAAATACTGATAAAAGTACCTGATTTCAGCAACTTACTTATAATGACTCAAAACCTGACAGACTCCTATACTGGTAACTGTTGAGTAATCTTCTGAATGCTTTCCACCACACCATTCCTTTTTACTTTCTTCCACAGACCTAAAGTGTTCATTTTATTCATTTACTACAATGAAACACAGCTCTATAAAGAGTTTAATTTGTCTTTAATTTATCGCCGAGTCTTCCAAATGGAGACTTGTAACAAAAAATCATAAAAGTAAAAAAAAAAAAAAATGAACACAAATGACAAATAAATTGATAATTTAATTTTATATCTAAATGCAATTTAATCAATAGAATCTTTTTTAAATTGGTCAAAGCAATTTAGACTGTTCATTTTGAAATGTGGTCTGAATGTGTGAATCCTTTCCACCTTCGAACAGGACTTCACAGAGAAGGTAGCAATGACATATCAAGTCGCATTCTGCACAGCCAGGGCATAACCTTAGCCAAATAAGATTCGTTAATTTATTAGAGCACTGTGTCAAACAGGCAATAATAAAATACTATCTCAGAAGATTGTTGTGATGATTATTTAAGCCTTACAAGGCATATAATACCTAACTATAGCACTTAAAATATCTATGTCTGTTACAGTACCCAAAACACTGCACTTAATACCTAAATGTGGAAAGAAATTTTTTAAAAAACTATTTATATCTGTGTTACAAAATACCTGCAAACACTTTTTGTGATTTCAAGATTTTTAAAAAATTGTCAGATGAGCGTCAAATGTGGTAAGTACCTGTACTCTCAGTGGCAAAGAGTTTACCTGGCTAAGGGGTGGCTATGTCTAATTGCAGACCAGATACGAATGTACCTGGTGGCATTCCACAGGTCCTTCTGTTATCCTGGGCTTCAGTTACTTCATGTGTTAAATAAGGTATCGGCCAGGTCAGAATATCTGTACGATAACTTTCATATCTAACAATCTGTATATGCATGACTTCATCATTGAGTAGTTTACTAAATTATGTTTCTTTTCCTCAGATAGCACAGGGTCAATAAGATAAAGGGTCGCTGACCTATAAATATTATATACTCTGTCAGTGCATGTGAACATCAGGAGCAGTCTTACCTTTATCCTCAACATCTCCGCCTTTGAAATTATTTTAATACTATAAAAACACAAATATACACTCTCTCTTAGTATCTGGAGAAAGGTCTGTAGTCATATTTTGTGTTTGATACGTGATGATGGTAGCCTTCTACCTGAAACAACATATTTCTCTAAAATCTACACAAATAACACCTGATATTATTATGTCAGCATTCATGCTGCAGTACAGTTGAGCATTGCATTTATTTACCCCTGAAAGCTTTTGTCATGATTTACTTCTTGATACAGAGCTAGAATTTGTGCCACTTTGTAAGTTGCACTGATTATTACCACCAATGGGATGACTAGAATTCTGCATTACATTGATTTCTATTGCTGAATGAAATAAGAGTGCATATTTCCCTAGAACTTTCTATGATCTGTAACTACCAGAATAGACCCCAAAATTGAACACTAATTATTTCATGACAATCCTGAGTGGTTTAGTACTGTATTTTCTGCAAAAGTTCAGTGTAATTTAATGAAGGAGGTTAATTTTTGTTCCTTTCATAATCAGCTGATCACTGACATAGGCCAAGACTATTAAGTCTAATTATCTCACACTTCTACTGCTCCCTGCATAGTGTAAAGTCCAAAGCTGTCTACCTTCCAAAAGCTGCCCAAACCCAATGGCTGTAGACCTAGGGATTACATTCTTCATATCCACAATTTTTAGCCCAAATTACATCTTACCAGAAATAAAATTTCTTGGCAGCATCTTAGAAAGTCACTGCCTGGGAGAGTTTGCATTCATTTAAACAAAGTGTCAGAGTGTGCGGTTCACTCTTATAATCAGAGCACTCAGGGAGGCTTGAGGCAGGAGAACTGCAAGCTCCATCCTATCTTGGATAACTAAGCAATTTAGCCAGACCTGGTTTCAAAATCAAAAATCTAAAAAAGACAAGGTGAGGGTTTCGTTGGTTGTTTAGACCTAGAAGTCTCCCTCAAGCCTCATGTGGCTGGAGCTGAGGATCTTAGGTAGCTGGACCACAGGCAACAGAGCTCCCTGATATTAAGGGTCAGGTCTGGTGGGAGGAGGCAAGTCACTGGGGCATGGCCAGTAAGGGGTTTATCTCTATCCCTGGCCTCCTCCAGGCTCTACTCCCTGGTGCGAACTGAGACTCCTGGACAGACCGAGCTCAAAATCATCTTCTCCTCCCTTATGCTACCGGTGTCAGGCACTGTGTATCCTCCAGGAGAAAAACCCCTAAAACAAAAACTTGGTGTAAAGACCAGGTTTAATCCCCAGCATCACACACACACACACACACACACACACACACACACACACACACACACACACCACACACACACACACACACACACACACACACACACACACCACACACACCACACACACACACACACACACACACACACACACAGAGAGAGGCTAAAAAATAATAAATTAAAAAGCAAAAACTTCTTACCACCAGAATTACAGGAAGAAAATCAACCTGTCTTGTGATTAAATAATGAAACATCTGTAGTGAATGATTTAACATATGAATAGGAAGATAAAACATTTGTAGTAAACTTCTTTTTAACTAGTTTTATTCTACTCTTCCCTTAGAACACAATCATAATAAAGTGAATCTTTGAAAGGCTCAGAGAGCAGGCAGGAAGAAGAGTGAATGGAAAAAGAAGTTAACGTGAGCGACGTCCATGCACAGCTCCCAGTGAATGTGAGCACTGTGTCCCGAGAGCACGCACGGATAGAAATCCTGCTGCAAAACAATAAATCACTACCACTCACCGGTGCCTTTGTAATACTTGGTACAGTTTCCATATTCGATGTCCTCCTTTTTAATATCGAATTGAGGCAAGGCAATTTTTTCTAACTGAACAGGATCCCCCGACTGCCAGATAAATCGCAGATCATCAGTGGTGTAACCAACTGCAAGCGGAAATAAACAAATACCAGCGTCAGACTGAAATCCATTCAGTTGTGAAGGCTTCCTTAGTATCTCATACTTTCCTTAATGCTTACTAATCCAAATGTTAAACTGTGAAAGTATAAGACAGCAGGCTCTTCCTGTATGAAATCATAGGTGATGCTACAGGGCAGTAGAATTGATCGTCACCTCTGATACTTAGACAAGAGTTACAGACAATCGTCTTAAAGAAGAAGCTGAAAGAACAACACACTATCAATACGAACCCTACAATGAAATCCTATAATATTGTGTATAAATATTCACCTACGTCTGAATTGTTAACCCTCATCAATAAAACTGTAGTGACTGAAGATTTCCCAATGTGTACATTTACCATCATACAACATGTTATCTGACATTTTTAAAAGAAATCCAAGGGTTTAGGCACTTGATCTTTTGAAATCACTTCCAAGTTTCCTAAAGGCACTGAAACCTAAAGCACATATACACCTAAAAACAATACTTCCACCAATCTAATAAATAGAATTAATATGTGAAGATACAGTTGAAATATTTGATATGAACAAATATTGAACAAATAGATATATGCACATATTTACACAGATAACACAAGTAAAAACACGTATATATGTATACTTACATGTGCAAAATCTCTTTTTATAGTTAGAAAGGAAAAATGCTGTCAACCTTTAGGATCTATTTCCATATACATTGTTAAAAATGACAGAAACCATGAAACAACTTGAAGCAAACACTATAACAAGGATATGCAGTAAATTTTATAAGGTTATTATTCATTTTTACTCTGCAGAAACACAATCGTATACAGTTATTCAATCTAGAGATTCCTTATGATAGTATTAATTTTTCAATTTATCTAGGATAATCATTACAGTGAACTAACATTTTTATAGAAAACGTCCATAAATACGTTCAGTGCATATTTTATAACCTAATAAAATCATTAAAATCAAATTTTGTTTAAAAATCTGTATCTTACCTAGGTATCTACAGAACATGACTATTCATTTAGGTTTGCAGAATATTTACAATGTTTTCCACACTCTTTGCTGAAAATGCGGTTTTTAACATCAAGAGATTTATTTTAATTAGGTTCCCTTTTCTTTATTAATTTCGCTGTGGTACCCATTGAAATGAAGACAGCAGTCAGAATGATTTGTAAGTATACACACGTACAACAGCTGAACTAAACCAGACTGGAATCAGAAGGCTGTGTTTGTCTTAATGAAAATTAATATAATACACAATCACTCTGGTTTCTCTAAAGTTGTGCTAATGACCATGTGTGATCAACAGCATTAGCCAAATGCATTACTGAGAAAGAACCCACTTTAACTCCCAAAGGCGCTTCAGTCCTGCATACTCACAGCTCTCCAGCTGCATCTTGCAACGCTGTGTGTCCATGGGAAACAGGGTCAAGTCCAGAGGGCAGGAAAGAGTAATAGATAACCTGAAAGCAGAAACAGGAAAATTGGAACTTACACAGCTACACCTCTGTAATCCAGAACTGGAAAAGGAAGACATAAATGTGCAAATATGTAAAAGAGCACCTCATGCTGACAAGGACATCTCCATCCCGAAAAATAAAGAGAAGTATGTTTTCCTGGGTTACGTCATGGAAATTGGCACTTTTCTCATTTGCAAAAAACAAATCAGGTTTCCACAAACACTTGTACATCGTGGGGTCCACTGTGAGTGCATCTGAGCCCCGAAAGTCACTGGGGAGCTTCAGCCGGGGGTCATTCCATTTTTGTCGCAGGAAGATGTTCACTCTATAGTCCTGGAAATTGAGAAGGAAAGCAATGCGTGGAGTTATTGCTAAGTTCAATTGTTAATGTAGTAAATGTATGCATCTGTGCTCCCTGCTGTTACAGGAACATGATCAGCACCAGAACAAGAGTGTTGATGATCAGTAACACCAATACTTTTGCTTTCCTAATGCCAACCAGGGTCATAGCAGATGGGTTACTGAAAGTTCAATTTGTAGAACAAAAATACCCTTGTGTCTAACTACTCACTATCACTATTTCATAGCACTCAACTGTCAAAATATATCTTTACTAATAATGGCTTCACATTTATATACATACCAATAATTTCAGTTGGTTAGGTTGCATTATCATAGAAGCACAAGGAAAAGTAACACAAACTTTACTTAAGAATTGGTTAAAAAAAAAAAAAAGCCAGGGATATAGCTCAGAGGCACAAATGCTTGCCTAGCAAGTGCAAGGTCCTGAGTTGAATCTCCGGTACCAAAAATAAAAATAAAATAAAATAAATAGTATGTAAGAAACAGGGAAAATATTTCCAATTGTCTTTTGCTAAGGAACTGTAATGGCTGATACACTGTGTCAACCTAAGAAGTTCAGAAGTCTAACTAAGCAGCATTTGTACATCCTAAGGTGTAGAGGACATGCCCCAGAGTGGCTATTTAAACTACAGTGTCAATCTGTGGAATTTAGAAGTTTAAGTGACCCAGAAGAAGACCAGGGTCCTCACTTTGTAAACATCCTGAGCTGGTGCAAGAGGAGGCAGGGAGATGCTGGGTGTATAAAGGACACACCCTAGGGCGGCTATCCTGTGTACAACAGAAGGGAGGAAACAGGCTTGCTCATCCTCGCTTTGCCTCTTATTCTTTCTGTGTTGTGTGATCTTGAACTACTGCCCCTCAGCCATGCCACCCTGCTGTGGAGCTAGTTGACTGTGGACTGAAACCTCTACAAACTGTGACCTAAATAAACCTTTCCTCCCTTCATTTTGGGCATCAGGTATTTTATCTTAGCAACTAGAGAAGAGTAAGTGATACAGGAACAAACTAAAAAATAATATTGTGCATATGTATGTGTTATACATACTACATTCAGTCACACAATAATCTCTTGATGTTCACTTGGAATTGGTTCCAGGACTCCTCATGGATAGAAAACTCTGAAGATATTTAATCCTTCCCAAAAAACATAACATAGCATTTACAGATAAACTACATACTCTTCCCAAATACTTTTGCTGTTGTTGCTGTTTAAGACAAGATCTTGCTATGTAGTTCAGTCTGGGCCTGAATTCACTAGGTATCCCAAGCTGGCCTTGAATGCAAATCTTTCTGCAGCAGCCTCCCAAATTTTGGGATTACTGGGCTGGCTCTTCTTATACACTTTAAATCATCTCAATTATTTATAACACCAGGTATAATATAATTGTCATGGAAGTAGTTGTTAGAAAGTGTTGTTTAAGGAATGGTCACACGAAAAATATTTGTACACGTTCAATACAGATGCAATGTTTTTTCAAATATTTTCTATCTGCAGTTGATTGAATCCACAAGCTATGAGACCTGCAGACACAGACAGTGACAGTATTCTTGAGCGGGTCAGAGAATAGCTGCAATAGCTCTACCTGCACATGACTATAGAGAGTCTGAATTAGGTAGTCAGGAGGAGCTTCAGGTGCTGCTCAACAGATTAGAATGAGTGCAAAGTTCCTAAAGGTATTGGCAGGGACATTTAACCACAGTTGAAAACTATTTTAAAATTTACTCACTACTTGGTTATCTAGTCAGTTGTTGAGCTGCAAGAATTTCAAGACGTTGGTGAGCTGAATTTTGTCAAGACATAGTGATTGTAAAAATATATGAACCAAGCATGTTTGTTACACCGTAATACATCCACACACACACACCACTAATGATGGATTCCACACATCAGGGGTTGGCTGGGTGCACAGCACACCCAGCGTTGAGGGCTCACGCTTGGGTCTTCTGGTTCTAACTTCATCTACTAAACTTGGAATGTGTACAAAGGTTTTCAAGATGTAAGTTACGCTGGGCTTCAGTGTCTTCCTTATTTTTGGTAATTTAACATTTATATAATACTATCATTTCAGACCCTTTTGATATGATCAAAATGAATTAGATCATAACATCAAATCAAAATTCAAATAAATAGGAAGAAACAGCACATCATATTTTATTAAATAACTGAAAACATGTCTATGAGACATAAATGCATGCACTATATATATGCATATATATGTGTGTGTGTGTATATATATATATATATATATATGTGTGTGTGTGTGTGTGTGTGTATGTGTGTGTGTATGTGTATGTGCTGTGAAAGAAACCATAAGCGAAGAGCACAGACTTTACAAAAGCTTCATAAATTCCCATGCTCATGTCTGTATGTATAATTTTATTTTTATATGCAGATTATGTGTGCTACTTGGAGAAGGGCAAGACACTAAATAATGTTACACATTTACTAAACTACAAGTAGTGAAGTAAGATTCAATCTGCCTGCATCACATAGTAACTCAAGCTTGGTGTTTTATTTAAAAAAACCTCAACATACTAAGGTAATAGATATGGCAAGTAAACTGATCTGGTCATTATATAGTGTGTATGTATAGTGAAATATTTCATGGCACCCCTAGTATATATATATATCTGGTGCATGTTAATCAAAAATTAAAAATTTGGTTAGACCACATATAATTTTTATTGATTCTTAAAAATCAGATTTGGATTATTTCAAAGTGATAAAGTCCTTTCAATGATTTCCTTATATTTTACAATTATTATGTATTTCAAATCCTTTTGTGACACAGGGATGAATGAAAAAGAAATAAAATAACGAACAGCTTGAAAACCATCCATGCTTGACAAGAGCCTTTCTGCATTACCTGGATATAGCTCCCAAAACTCTGTAACTGTGCCTAGAAAAACGATGCTGTATTTTATTCTAAAATTAAATTTTCTTATTTTAATAGAATATCACATATATGTAAACAGATGGAATTTTTAAGACTGCATTGCTATTTTGTAGAAAAAATGACTAACTTTCAAAATATGCACTGGTTTGCTTATCAGTAATTAGCTGCCAAGGACATTATATCAACAATTTATAATAATATTCAAGATACCTGGCCGGCATTACGGCAATGCTTTTTCTTTAGTACATTTTGTATAATTACAAAATAAGCTACCTGTCACATCTCGAGTTGAAGTTCAGAAATTAATTTACACTGAATTCTCCACCCCTGCACACACACATTTGGGACCAAAATTCTCTGTTCTATTTCTAAAACAGCATATACAATCAATTCATCCAAAATTATACAGCAAAGTTAATTTTTCTTTAAAGATCACGATAGCAATTTTAACAGCATTTCTCCATTTTTTTCATTTTCCTGAATCTCTCTTGAAGTTTAATAAGCATTTCCACACAATGCAATAATATCTTAATGTCACTTATGTGCACTCTGACCCCAAAGCCCCATCACCAGCAGAAGGCCCCATGTTACCCAGAGAAGCCCTGCTCGGTACTAGGCACCTTTCCAAAATCAAGCCCATCTGTGGTGAGCAAAAGAAAGATAAAGCATTTTGATTCATGGTCAAACCTTCTTTATTCTAGACACCATCATGAAATGATTTTTCCAAGATCACATTAGCATCTTATGCAGAAAGTCAAGTGATCGGAGTGCAATGTAGGCTTAAAACTGTAAGGGTCTGGATTTAAATCTCCACTGAACCCGGGAGGCTTTGACTGAGCCCCAATGTCCCAGCCCCTGTGCTCAGTTTCTTGATAAACACAGTAATGATGAATCGTGAATGTCAGTTTATGGGCTTGAGAGCCACCTGGGGATCCATGAGGCATAACCAGGGGTGCTGGGAGAGCCCCTGGAGGCATGGCCTTGGGGCCACATCTGCTCCTGGCCTCTTCTTTTGGAGCCAGCCCAGCCTGACTGAAACTTCTGGAACTTGGCTGAATGAACTTCTCCTTTAAATTGTGGATGTCAGGAAGTTTGCTCCAGAAGCTGGAGCAAATTTAAAAAAAAAATTAATATGGACTAATATATTAGTGGGAAGATTAAATAAAATAGTGTAAAATTAATGTATGAGTTTGTTTCCTCCTCCTCTTATGTCTTTGGGAATATGGCTACAGATCACATCAAACACTGTTAGAAAAGTATTTAAATTACTTCCAGTCTCAAGGTGACTGACTGGCTTAGTCATTTATTCTTTCAAAATGTATTTATCAGCCATGAATTCTTTTGCATGCACTAGGTACTAAAGACACAGTGTGAGTGACCTGACCTTTACAGAAATAGCTACAAGAGAGTATAGGAGTCAGTGGAATAGGAAACAAACAAAAATCAATGTGCGAAGAAACATCTAACCGACTCTAGGGATCCGTTAAACTAACCAAGTGTATGGCACATGCCCTTGGCCCTGAGAGGTGTTCGATGTTAAAAAAAAAAAAATCATCCAGGTTTAAATTATGTGCCACGTCAGTTTTTATCTTATGGAAGGGAAGCTATTTAGTTGCTCTGAACTGCAAAATTTTATGGATCAAGTGAGGGCCTGGTTTTCCTACCACTTAAATGAGATGCTATGACTAATCCAGAAACCCTGACAAAGTGAACACTCACACATTATTTTTAATGTATTTATTGTTCATATTATTGGTGTCTTTTCAAAAATGTTGGCATTACAATCAAAAGCATTTCATTTCTCCTGCCAGCTGGCTGTTTCTATTGGCTACTTAATATTCGCACAGGCATCTTTATTAGACGTGAAACATGTCAGGTGCTTGTCACACAGAGACCAACACCACAGAGCACTAGGAAACAAGTCTGAGGTCTCTGGACTGCTTGGATCTCACTGAGAAGCCAGATTAATAGCGTGAACTTCCATTACGGGCTGAGCGAATGAGGCGCTCAAACACTGAGACTCGTCTTACCCATGAAGGAAGTCCCAGAACTGCTGATTTAGCTGGGCTATGT